TGTTATCTACATAAACCTGTTGTACATTTTGTACAACAGTTTTATGTAGATAACAGTAATGTAAAGGTAAAATGTACAACAGTTTTATGTAGATAACAGTAATGTAAAGGTACATTACAGTTATCTACATAAACCTGCTGTACATTTTACCTTTACATTACAGTTATCTACATAAAACTGCTGTACATTTTACCTTTACATTACAGTTATCTACATAAACCTGTTGTAGTGTAAACCATTTGAGTTGGCTAAGTTGGAACAGCTACAACACTAAATCCGAGGGTAACGGGATCGAAATCCATCCCGAACATGTTCGTCTTTTGAGCCGTGGGGGTGTCATAATGTGACAGTGAACCCCACTATTCGTGGGTAAAGATAACCCTAGAGTTTGCGGTGGGTGGTGTTAACTAGCTTCCTTCTCTATAATGTGTCACCTCTCAATTATAGAAGGCGCTAGCGCAGATTATTCCGTTAAAACTGCGACAACAATAAAATAATTCCGTTAAAATAAGGTAAAAATAATATTGTAATTTGCAATGTATTACCGTCACGTTTATCACGTTTAAGTCGGGGTGTGTGTGTGTGTGTGTGTGTGTGAAAGTTTAAGTACCGGAACTTCTCTCGTTGATCTTATGTTTTGAGCGTCCAGACAAAGATCAAATGTGCACATTTGTTACTAGGATTATGTAGTTTAGTTTCAGACTAAAAATAGAACTCTAATCCGACTTGCTCTGAGACCCGTTCGCGACCCACAAAGTTTATGAATACCCGATTTAACGTATTAATGATGCTAGGAACACGTGTAGGTTAAAAAGAATAAAGGTTAAAAACACGAGACCCTATAACTTTCAAAAGATGGGTCCTTTCTTCATCAGGAGCAAACAGGGAAAGGTAATTCATGATGACTTTGTTAACCTAAAGATGACCTAAGAAGATGGGTCCTTTCTTCATCAGGAGCAAACAGGGAAAGGTAATTCATGATGACCTTGTTAACCTAAAGATGACCTAAGAAGGTCATAACCTTGTACTTTATTAGCTTTTAATACCCTTACTAGTCGTTCCTGCTATACATTTAAACAAAACGGTTTCGTACTCTTGACCAAACACTTTAGTTCTGTTGCGAATCTCTCAAATCTGCGAAAAAAACAACAAACAAAACAGAATATGATGATGAGACTAAATATAACCAAATATTGCGTATATTTATTACATGCAGCTTGTGACGATGATAGTCAAAAGTAACTCTATAGATTCCATCTATCAAAGTTCATCAGCCTTCAAAAACTGAATGTTCGTAAAGTTAACTTTATGCGAATTAAAGCATTTAAATTTGGAATAAAGCTTATAATTTTTTTGTTCAAAACAAAATTGGGGGGGCCGCAAAGTTACACAATGGGATATCTGTGTTGTAACCACCACGGGCATCGGAATCCGGTTTTTAGGGTCACAAGCTTTCAGATACTTGGCAGGTGGCAACAATTGGTTGCACTGTTTTGAAACCGTTACCAAATTTAAAAGATTGTTCCTTAACAGGGACCGATTCCGATATTCGGTGCACAATGTGCTATGCCCCCCCCCAGTGACACAGCTGTATGTCTGCGGACTTACAACGCTAGAATCCGGGTTTCGATACCCGTTGTGGGCAGAGCCCAGATAGCCCATTGTGTAGCTTTGTCCTTAATTTACAAACTGTGTGTGTGTATGATACACTAGAGAGAAATCTTATGTTACATAAAAACATCTTGACAGGGGCCACAACAGGAAAGATAGCACGTCGAAAATGAAGTGTGCAGTATTAAATTACAGTAATCTAGTTAGCAGGAGAGTTAAAGGTGGAATACGAGTGACGATAGCACATTCACACACACAACTCGCCGACTAGGCTATCTAATCTGTATTTTTAAGAGTTTTAGCACTACAATGTCGTTCTTTCACTGAAACGTTCGGTCATTTTTAACAAATAGAACAATAATATTTTACGTTCTTTTATAAAGCGAAGTTGTTGTTGTCAAGTCACAGTTCTTATAAAACAGTTCCTTTGAAAATAAGTCACGGATTCGCGTTTTGTTCTTTTAAAGAGTACGTCTATGATCTAATTAATTATAACAAAGTATGCATCAGAAATATTCATAAAAAATAATACTAATAACAAGTGGACTTTTTCGTCTCACTAGATATCAATGTCCTAAAATAATTCCCATTGGTTGGTTTAATAATAACAAGTTTATCCATTGGTTGGTTTAATAATAACAAGTTTATCCATTGGTTGGTTTAATAATAACAAGTTTATCCATTGGTTGGTTTAATAATAATAAGTTTATCTATTGGTTGGTTTAATAATAACAAGTTTATCCATTGGTTGGTTTAATAATAATAAGTTTATATCGAAAACATTCTTAACTCTCGTTTATAGGGTTGAACAACAATATAATAAAACTCAAACAACTTCAAGATATAATTAATATTTAAAGTTAAGATCAAGGCCCAGTGTTGAATCTTGTCATTTTGCTGTACTTTAGAAAAGAAAAAGTAATTAATTTTGTAAAATGTAAGACAGGAAAATGTATGTACATATTATATAAATCAAACACAAAAAGACTGAAAAATCCAAATTAATTTTTCCATTACCAGTCCTCAATGTCATAGTTAAAATTCGTAACAGATAATTTATGTTGCCATGGCACCCAAACGCCATCTGTCTGACAAGATCCAGACGTCGATGTCAAACTAGCCAGTAACCAAGGGGAATCGGTGCTTGAACCCCCAACGTCTCAACTCCCACTGCCTTTCACTGTCTGCAGCTAGTTGTGGGAAGGCAGTTATTCTTAATATTTAAATACAACCTTAAAGTAGAAACAAACCATTCTAGATTTCTACAATATAAAACTCCCAACTTTCATCCTCGTACGAGATGTACACAAATATTTTTAAAGGAGAAATAGACCACCTTATACTCCCAACCTCCACCCTTGTAATGATTACAAAAGTACGTTAAACGGAACTAAAAACCTTACCTTAATAGTTGCTAAACTCCTGTCCTCCTTCCTTTATCTTGACATTTTGTTCGAGTATAAACCGGGTGAGCTGAGACAAGCCCAGCTACATGAAGTTAGTCTTTCCGTCCCGGTGAACTGAACAAAATACTTAAGTATTTATAGTTACTTGGAGGTCTAGAATGACCTCGACTAACTAACGACCTCTATGTTCTCCACAAGGTAGTTTCCGTAATCGTGAATTTACTTTTTAAAATTATTTCATATTTATCATAAAAGAGTATAAACCAGTGGTTCCCAATCTTTTCTCCACCAAGGACCCCTTTTATCATAATTTTTTCCCCCACGGACCCCATGTTTTTGAAAGATTCCGCCTACCCAACAAACTGTTTTCATTAACTAATAATTAACTCGTTCTCCCACTTTTCACTATCAAATAAAAGAAATATATAACTGAGTGTGCAATTAAAAAAAACATCAGTATTAAAAAACTTACTTGTTTAATGAGATGGTATTACCTACGCGGACCCCCAGGGGTCTGGAGACCCCAGGAGGGGAACCACTGGTATAAACCATTTGTTTTATATTTTAGTCCTATTTTTCAATTCATTTCTGAATAACTTAACAATAATATTTCTCTTATGGCCACATATATTATCCGTTATGAATTTTAAAGATGATAACAAGGACTGGTAATGAAAAAATTAATTTTGATTTTTTGAGTCTCTTTGTAATGTTTTTGATTTATATTAGTTTCATCACTATTGTTTTATAGTGTTGATTAAACAACAGACTATTTACAATTAATGTTTTTAATGGCCTTAGAACTTTATTTTTATATATATGTATTGTAGCTAATGATGGGTGTACACATTTACAGATGTGTGTTGTAGCTTATAATGGGTGTAAACATTTATACAGATGTGTATTGTAGCTAATGATGGGTGTTTACATTTACAGATGTGTGTTGTAGCTAATGATGGGTGTAAACATTTACAGATGTGTGTTGTAGCTAATGATGGGTGTAAACATTTACAGATGTGTGTTGTAGCTAATGATGGGTGTACACATTTATACAGATGTGTGTTGTAGCTAATGATGGGTGTACAC